TACTGTTTCAACATTTACCTAAATCTACCGCAGATAATGACAGAAGCATCTTGGAAAGACGTTTCCGATTTTTGTTCTCCCCTCTACGCTACCGAGCGCGCGGAGGGGGTCATCTGAGTGAGGACAAAAGGGGACAAAAAGTGAAGCAGCGAATTCGTCACGAAAAGTAAACTGATCACAATCCATCTCCTCTTCTATTTACATAATTGCGCAACTCCCATCTTACGCGGTACAGTGAGCTGCGAACACCGCTTCCGAAGATCTCACGGCCGGTTATGCCAAGGCTCGGGTTTTCTTGTATTTCGCGTTCCTCACGAAAAATATAAACACGGACAATTTTCACTTCTGCCCCGTGTGTCATTGTGCCCCGGTGTAGTAGCTCGTACGCAGTCAAGAGTTAAAACGAGTACATCAGTGGTCAGCGTAAACTGGAGCGTAACATGACAACAAACATGGCTCGAACAAAGCATGTATGCAGAACGATTAATTAAACGGAATAACAAAAGACAGCCCTCCACATCACCGTATCACCCAAAGAAAACAAGGAAACATTCAGAAAAAAAAGTCATATAATTACAAGAGTCGTAAACACCGCAAAGGGCTCGTAAAATCCGAATTTTTGATAAACGGATTTTATACTTTCTCATCGCTCGCCCGATCGTCATGATGACCAACTTCATGGTCGAGTTCTATTCAAAAAGACCCGATACGTATGAGCTTTGTTTTGGGAGGCACCACAATGGGGAAAAAAACGTACGCTTCTGAGCCTTTTCGATAGCAGCTCTCCGCTCTTCAGCCGAAACAGCGCCAAAGATGATATCCATGTCTTCTAAACTTCGTCCTTTCGTTTCAGGGATGAGACTAGAAAGAAAAAAAGAGGGTCAGATCAGTAAAAAAAAATCAGTACATCACGACGGAAGCAAGAAAGACAGAACGAAGAAACGAAACAAAAAAGGGAAGAAACATACATCGCAAACACTCCCATACCACCAACATTGATAGTAGCGAACATCAAAAAAAGCTTGTATCCCAACTTCGTTACGAGGGTCGGGGTGATGTACGACACAACAAAGTCTACCGAAAACACAGAACAAAAGGCAAAAAAATAGATAAATCAGTACACGTCAAAGAGTAGAACGTGAAACGCACTGAACAACCATTGACTCGAACTCGCAAGCGCAAGACCGTAATGTCTCGTTCTCGTCGGGAAAATATCAGAGACGTAAACCCATGGGAGAGGTCCTAAACAAGGAAACCGTAAGCACCCAACCGAAACTCCAACTACGCGAACCAAGAACCACTCACCCCACCCCATACTATAGAAACACACATAGATATACAACATCGCGGCCATAGCCTTACTCGCCGGAGGAGGATCAGGGAAAATCTTCGCTCCCGTGATCGGATCGGTCCTCGCCGGTGGAGGTGGGTGCGTCTTGAGAATAGCTCCAATGATGTAAAACAGCGTTCCCATCCCGAATGCTGAAATTATCAAGGACGATTTTCGACCAAGAGTTTCCACACCGAAGAAGATGAATAAAGCTGTGAATACGACTTTGACGACACCGTATATTCCAGAAGCAAGTAGGGATTGAGTATTTCCGGTGTATCCAATGGACTCGAAGATTTGAGGAGCGTAATAGCTGGGAAATTGGAGTGGGAAAAGCGGAGGATAAGAAAAAGTGAGGGAAAAAAGAGAGTTGAAAACGCAATTGTTCAATTAGTCAACCTTGGATCTTCTCAGAAAGGGAAAGAAAGAGGCTCACTTGACACTGTTCTGCCCCGAAAACTGCTGCAACAAGAAGATAACGAACGCGATGACGAATCGGATGAAGTTTCCTTTGCCCAAGAACGCTTCTTTCAGCCCCAACCCGGCACGAGCAGCACGTTCTTCTTCAATAGCTGCTTCAATTTCGGCGAACTCGTAGATAATCCTTTCGTCTGAAGGATGCAACTTTCGAAGGTAGGCGAGATTTTCGATGGCTTGTTCAGTACGGCCGACGGAGGCCAGCCAACGTGGAGATTCCTATGATGTCGAGATACGCATCAGATGTGTCAGGAGAGAAAGGGAAGAGGCGAACCTTGACGGTGAATAATCCAAGTAACATTATACCACAGGGAACAAGCTGGAATCCAAACGGTATCCTCCAAACGCCAACACCAGTTGGCTGGTGAATGCCGATGCCAACTAGTCAAATTCAGCAAAAACGAACGAGACTTGGAGGAAGAGATAAACATACAATTGAGGAAATACGAGATCATCACACCCGTAGCCACCATAATCTGGAACAAGCCTGTAATCCTCCCTCGAACTTCCTTGGGCGAACATTCGGATACATAAGCGGGCGCTACAGCTGAAATTCCACCAATACCCATGCCCGAGATGATTCGCCCGGCATAAATTAGATGAAGACCGTTTGATGGACTTTCGGCGACGGTTGTGAGGATCTAAAGGATGCCATTTCCAGGTGTCAGCGGTTTCAATAAGGCTTTTACAGGTTGATTTTAAACGTACAGCACCGATAGCGAAGATACCGGAGAATGTCACGAGAGTCATTCTTCTTCCAATCCAGGCTAATCATTATTCAGGGTGGAACGTGAGCGTTGATCAGATGGCTATAGCGGTTAACGTACCAGAGACCGGGGCAGACCCGAGCGCACCCACAAAGGCCCCAGCTTGAAGAACTGAAACGACTATAGCGCTAACATCGTCTATTCTCTTCTGGCTTCCGATAATTCCAAAGTGTGTCTGGAAGAATTGGTTTTTGACTACACCTCCCGCAATACCACTATATTCGAAGCGGTTAGCTTTGAAGGAGAAATAACCAGAAAAAAAGAACCTACGTGTCATAACCGAATAAGATGATACCCCAGTAAACAATAAAAGCGAGCCCTGTCCGTTAAACCATCAGTTTATTCGAATTCAACCCTCAAAACTATACAAGAAACGAATAAGGCTTACAGTACACTCGCAAATTGACAAATCTTGACTCCTTGTTCATCGTTGCACAGGCTATTTCTCTCGTCCTTGGCAGGCAACTGAGGGGGGGGATGAAGGAGAGTGGAAGTGAGAGGCGAAGGAAAGGCCCGAGCTTCGTTCGGCTTTGGAGCACCTTAACTCTTTTTGTCGTCCGTACCGGGACGGTCCCGGCCCGATGGCTCAGGAACAAGTTTGGTCAGATGTCGGCCGTGTTCTTGCCGAGTGGGGTGAGGGGCAATTGGCGGGGAAAAATCGCGGGGAAACCCGTAGTATTGAATTTTAAAATTGCGGGAGGTTAGTCCGTTCAAAGCCTGGACTTTGTTCAAGGGTCTCTTCTTTGTCCGCTATCATTAGCTTGGGAAGTCATACTATGGTTAGTTTCTTGGCAAGGAAATCTAGAAAATATGGAGGTCCATTCATTCGGTGTTCCGAAATGCGTTTCTCGCTTAGATCTCTTTGCTCCTTGGACAACGGACTGTATTGACTCCTCTGAAACTCGGGAGTTTACATCAAAACATCCACATGGAAGACCTTATGGGTGTGAGTTGTATCAACTCGGCCAGGTACCGACCGAAATCTCTGAGCCGTGTCCCTGAAAGACGATTTGAAGGCGGTAAACAGTCAACTTCTCGAAATGTAAATCCTTTCCTCATGGTTGCCAGGCATGATTGGCTCACCCCAGGACCACTGGACTCTCATGCTCTTTCTTTCAGGAACCGGGCTACGAATGAATATCATATATTTAAGACTCGGTCATGTGCACCAATCGCCTCCAAGGCCTAATTGCAGCTAACTGAAGTCGACATTTATCGCACCCAGGTCAAAATCCTTTAAATTTGTGGTAGCACGACAAAACAAAGACGGTCACCAACACTATCACATCAACAGACTTTATTGTATCCTGGGTATCAAACTTTCATATATCAGGCAACGTGAAAAGGTTGTAATGGGTTCCGGCGACATCGGTCCACCTGAGTGTTCCATGTATTTCGCGGCTTTCATGTAAATTAAAATGTTCTTGTCAGGGCCACCATACCACCGGCCACTATAACTTTCGTCTTGACTTTTGTAAATTCTCAATTCGTAGCTCCGTCAAAGCTCCTCCGGGTCTTCTCAATCAGTTGAACGATCTATCGTGAAATTCCGTTTCGTGAATGACCAATGACTGCAAGTGGCTTATGAAGATCAGTGGATTTTGCACAAACGCGAAAGGAAGCCTCTCGGGACAAGATCAGAGCCTAAAATTAGCACTAGTGAGCTCCAGAGATCAAGTACGCACCGCCCGTTCCTTTAAATGATGTATTTTTTTTCTTGAAATACCGTGGAATACCACAAGAACCGGGGACGGAACAGAATTAAAGTATGATGTAGTATTGTCGTTCGAAACGACGTCTGAACGAGAACAGATCTTGCAGACCTCGGAGAAACTTTGCTCTCAAAACCAATTCGAGACCGGGACACTTGGCTAATAAAAAGCTCTCCCCCTCACGAGATCCCCCCCCCCCAGCGAAAACAGGAATTGAAACCCAACTTCAAAGTTTTTTGAGACCCCATTTCTTTTTTTGCTTCCCAAGGTGTGCATGTGCGTCGTCCCAGCGTTGGCACAGATAATGAATGGATCTCGTGGATAAATAGCGTAAGTACACTTGCAAAACGAGGAAAGTTCTATCAACGACCCATAACTTACAATTATGACGTAAGTCACATTCGAGCCGTCAAGAAAGCCTGTGATGCTTTAATATTTAATATTTAATATTGATGACTGGTTCCGACTCCCATAGACAGCCGGATACAGCCGGAAACAAGAATGTGATTCGAAAATTCCGACGAGTATGAAGCGGCGGAAGTGATGGAGAAGCCGTCCTTAAAGCTTTATTTTCAAAATAATAGAGGAGCCTTGACACCTCCTGGGGATACAACTCATGTGCAGGTAAGCTGTTTGTAGCTCACTGACGGATCGTATGAGAACTGGGGGGAAAGAAAAAATCGTGGAGAAAAAAGGGTCCAATTTTTTTTGCAATACACTGTTCGGGAATCGAACCCGAGCCGCTTGCTTCAACCATTTCAACTGCGATGGAAGGCAAGCATGATAACCACTTCACCAACAGTGTTCCTGTAGGGTATCATTGGAAGCTATCTATCAGGTGATTCGGCATACCGTGATGGGTTCGATCCGACGGTGTAGATGCTGCTTCGCCCTTCCTTTTAGCCATCTTATTTATCACCCGTATGGATAGTCAAGTCCGATAGCGACCTACTTATGAATTTATATAAGTATACCAGCCGGGCAACATCATGAAAGGGTACCACGTAAAGACAGATCAAGTAACCTCGGGATCCTAGACTAATAGTAAGCATAGTATCTAGCCGTTGATAAATGTTTGACTGAAGGAAGTTAATTGCAAGGGCCATCATGCACTAAGAAAGGGGTAATTTTGGCTTTTGAGACGAGAATTCGGGTTGGAGGAATGATCGATTGATCACTATAACTGCAAAAAGGCTATTACACTCAGTACCAAGCAGCTCAGGACACACCCTAGTGGGAGGTTACCCGCATTGATCATTTCTCGAACTAATGTCATCACGCTGTGTACCTTGCAACGCGGCTTACGGCTTTCACGGTCTACACGTAAGTGTAAAAGGTTGGATCAATGGTCGCAGGAACATCTACTAAGTAGTCTCAAGAATGCAAGGGCGGCTTTCGAGGAATGGCAGAAACGTGTTCATGGACCAAATCGTAGGGTTGGTGACCTGGCTTGGCTCATAGCCAAAACCAGGCCCAGCCCTCAGCTCAGGCCAGGGCTTTACCAGTGCAGCATATGTATGTGGGATTCAACTCTCAACAACACATGGATGTTCAATTTCTCCCTGAAAACATGTATGTACTTCCATCAATCATACAGGTGCTGTATTCCCACTTAGCTTACCTCAAACACTGGAGTTAGAGTGTGGTGAAGGTTCATTACTGAACCCTCAGATATGTGGAAATTTCAAGTACAACTGTACCTCAACAGCCAGGGAAGTGTGAGCCTGAGCCTGGCTTGGCTTCATACTAAGTCTTGGCCCGTTTCCAGGCTTAAGCCAGGCCCGCCAATGTCAAGTCCGTCTCCGTGCCTGGAAAAAGTCATACCATTCAAAGGCTTACCCTGAAGGTAACAGGTTCCATCCACCCCGGGATGTCCGAAAGACTTGGAAATGATTGATTTAACAGTAAATTCGTAGTTGAATTGACGAAGAGCACCGACAACCGCTGACGGAATACGGTGTGGTGTTGAATGACGAAAAGAATTTGTACCTTGTAAAAAAAAAGGAACGTAAAAAAAAAGGAACGTAAAATGGTAATATTGGCATACAGGAATCGAATTTGAATCCCTTGTGAATTAGAATTTCGGACAGCATGATAATCAGAAGTTCACCGACTGTGTTCTGCTAGAGCTCAGAGGTTGATGATTGGCACTGTAAAATGTAGAACAGCTGTGACAGCTACAGCTACAACGTAGAGTATTACCCAACATACGAGCAGTAAGCAGTTAAGAGTGACATCGCAAGTGCCTGTACCTCGAACTACCGACGACATACACTCACGGTCTGCCACAAGTAAAGAATAAAAACTCCCCTCACGCAATTCAGAAAAAACTGTTTGGATCAACATTTGGAGCAACTTCTTTGATATATAAGGCGGTGATCAACATGTAGGAACGGCTTTTATTTCCGAAGCCCCGTGGAGGGACATACCAACGAAAACCGGACATCTCCGTTTTTCCTTGAGAAATGGCGGAAAAGGCCGGGAGCTCAGCCCTCAGCGCTCGAACCTCGGCTGAGCTACTAATGGACTGCGGGACCGTGTCAACGAAGGCCTCTGGAGGTGAAGCCAATTGCAAAGCTCGACGTTTCAGCGCTGCATTTTTTTTTTCGATGATCATGATGACGGTAATCCACATCGGTACCGGACGCCCAATTGCTGAACGATGTAAGTTTGAACAGTCGAAAAGATATTGATTGAACCTCGGTTTCCTAGATACCCTTTTGAACTCCGATTGGGAGAATATAAACACCAATTTAAAAGACTTGTTCTGAGCATCATCATCATTCGAACCCGGGAGCGCTTAGAAATGACGTCGGATCTCGTGGACAGACACGCAGTGCGCGTCGACTCGCCGGGTGGATGTGGACTCTGAGCCTTGAATTGGTATTGTGATTGATTTTGTACTTTCATCTATACTTGGCTGATGAAGTCAAAGAAAGGCACTGGTATCTGTATGTTGCACCTTAAAAAAAGTCTGAATTACGATATATAAAAAAAAAAAAGTCGAGACACTTTATACACTGTTCGGGAATCGAACCCGAGCCGCTTGCTCGGAATAGCAAAACTAATAATGGAAGGGAAGTATGATAACCACTTCACCAACAGTGTGTTTCTGTGTATTGGCTTCTTTCATCGTAGCACGAGCCGCGGTCGCAGTCCCCGACCGTCCCATCACCGCAGCTGTGCGCACAGCCCTTTGAATTAAACTCAAATTAGATCTCTCTTTCCCCACACAGAAAAAATAAAAAAAAAAATTGTCGGGGATAAGGGAGAAAAAAGTGGTCTAGTCTAGTATCCAATCATCCGGAGTAAGTGTTTCCACCAAAAATCCAAGGTACGGGGGAAAGTGCTGTATCGAATCTTTCGCGTTTCCGGCCATGGTTCCGAGGGAAAAGAGTCAAAAGAAATGACGCGTGTCGAATTTTTCAGGGCAGTGCATGGGATTCAGGGTCAAAGGGCAACTCACGTGTTAATTAGCCCATCGATTCCTTTCTCTTTCAAATCGCTTCTTCTTTCTTCCGTTGACTTTCTTTTTTCCCCCTCCCTCTCTCACGTCGCCACCGGGATTTCGACGGTTATACCCTAAATTCAAGAGATATAGAAGGAAAAGTTGGAAAAAAGGAAAGAAGGCGAGGATGGAACCTGTCGTACCGCAGGAAATCACGAACGAATTGACCCAGATTCTATCGAATTTGGTGTTGGGTGACAATGAAATACGCGCAAGGTGAGTATTTTGCTAACGAAATCCGTCGTCATTTTTGAGCTAAAAATACGAAAAAACAGCGCGGAGAAGGCTGTCAATGACCGACTGACATCGACACCAGACTTGTATGTTTTGGCACTCGCTCAGTTCGCGATAACGGCAGATAGACAAGTTATGCGTTCATTTTCACTCATTCTTCTTCGACGTTTACTCTTTCGACCCTCTCAAAATCTACATCGGACGCTGACTTTATACGATCGACTATCACTTACAGCCCTAACGACCCTCGAACGTCTCCTCCTCCACTCACTCGGTCACGAAGCTTCCGCCAACGTTCGAAGAAAAACCGTCGATGCAGTATCTGACGTCGCAAACCAAGGAATGGCGCGGGGAAGACCCTGGCACGCTCTCCAAGCCCAAGTTTTCTCTATGGCTTCCACATTCTCCCCGTCCCCTACTTCACCAAGCTCGACCCTATTCAGCGCATCCCCAGAATCTATTCGCGAATCCGCTTTTTTAGTGTTCAAAGGTTGTCCCAACCTGGTCATGGACCTCCAAACAGATGCAGTTTTGTCTGTGTTCTCGAGAGGTTTAAAAGACGAAGAGTCGATCGCAGTTCGTCATGCCGCTTTAGAAGCCAGCATCGTCTATCTCACATCCGCCGATCCAAATCAGCTCGCACAGAGTCTTTCATTGATGTACCCCATTCTCGATACACTTCCTCCACTTCTCGCTGAGATTCAGGCTTTACAGCCCAATTCTGCGAATCCTACACCTACGCCGCTACCACCACCACCTTCGAGTTTGAACTCTTCTTCTACGGGTACGGGAAGGTTGAATTTGGAAGGAAAATCGCCAACGGCTCATTTAACGACGTTTATATCTTCTCTAACGCCGTTATGTTCCGCCCAACCTATGCTCTTTCTTCCTCATCTAACGGCGTTGCTTTCTTTTTTACCTAATTTGGTGTTACCACCTGCTGATCCTGGACCTACGCCTACGATGAATATGCCTTTTCCTCAGAGGACTTCACCTTTGACGGCTACGAATTCGAATTCGACGAACGTGGGGATGGGTGGGTTGGGAGAAGGCTGGGATGAAGGGGATGGGTCATTTGGAGTTGTTGAGGAGGATGAAGCCGAGGAGAGGAGTAAGTTGCGGTTGACGGTTTTAGAGTTTATGATTAGTCTTTGTGAAGCTAGGCCTAGTATGTTTCGGAGGAGTGAGTGTTGTCTTTTTTCGTGTGTGTTTTTTTTTTTCGATTGGAAAAGAGTTTACCTCGAACTACAGGCCCGTCAACACCGGAAGATTCGACGGCGTCGCCATCTTGGGTTGGAGTGGTTATACGTGCCTGTTTAGAAGGTATGACGGAGATTGATGAAGACTGTCCTTATGGTGTGGAAGGTGGCTTGGAAAGGTGGTTGAATGACGATGTAAGTTTCTTAAATTCTTCCCCCCTGAGGTTACGATTTTACTGATCGATCGTTCTTCTCTCCCCTGAACACGCCACTTCCCCGCCACACAGCCGTCATCCTCTTCGACAGCGACGACGGAGAACGAATCCCCGCCAGCGTTGTACGAGCAATCCTTGGACCGAATGGCATTCGCCATGGGTGGACGTAGCGTATTACCACCCGCATTTCAATACATTCCTTCCATGATCGCTTCTTACGATTGGAGAGCGAGGCATGCAGGGTTGATGGCTATAGCTGCGATTGCGGAGGGGACTGGAAAAGTGATGGTGAATGAGCTGGGTAAAGTTGTAGAGTTGGTCGTTCCGCTTTTCAGGGATCAGTATCCGAGAGTCAGATATGCTGCTGCTCAGTGTGTGTGAGTGTCGATTTTTTTTTCTCCTCAATTCCTCGCCGTTGTCGGATTGTTGTCTTCTTCAAAACCCTCGGTTCGGATCCATCATCCATGGACCATGAGGTGTTATTTTTTTCACAGCGTTCCGTACCCCGCGTCATCTGTCACTTTTTATTACGCCTTCACGTCACCCCGTCAGATTTAGAGTTTTTTCTCTTGATTTCATATTTCCATTTTTATCGAAACAACTTCTATTCGGTTCGCTTTGACATTTTTTCCCCATTTTTACCTTGTTTTTTTTTTTTTGCTTCCTCGTACCTGATGACCTTCTCACAGCGGCCAACTCTGCACGGATCTAGAAGAAATAATTCAAGAACAATACCACGAACAACTATTCGCGGTTCTTATACCAGCTCTCGAAGATCCCGAACCTAGGTACGCCTCCACCCCTCTCCCGATACGAATATCTATATCTCTCTTCCCTATAGAGTTCACTCCCACGCAGCAGCAGCTTTAATTAATTTTTGCGAAGGCGTAGCCAGAAACACGCTTTTACCATACCTCGATCCCATCGTCGAGAGACTTTTAAGATTATTACAGAGTTCAAAGGGTTATGTTCAAGAACAAGCGGTGACGACGTTGGCTATGGTTGCTGATGCTGCCGAGACTGGGTTTGTCAAGGTGTGTTTTGAGTGTTCGTTTTTTTTTTTTTTGTGTTTAGAGTTTACTGACGACCTTTTTTTTTTTTAGCACTACTCTACTCTCCTGCCACTACTCATCAAAGCTCTTCGTCATTCGACGGGAAAGATGAGATTGAAGGCTATGGAATGTGTTGGGCTCGTTGGGATTGCGGTTGGGAAGGATGTGTTTCGGAGGGATGTTCAAGAAGTTGGAGAGTGTTTGGTTAGGATTCAAAGTATGTTTTTTTTCTCTCTAGCGTCTCGTCTTGTCGAACGCTAACCGTACACCTATATTTTCCACCCCCGTATCGACCCCACTTAACTCCGGCCACGCTCTACCTGCCTACTCCACCTCCCTGACAGCCTCTCCACCCGATCCAACCGACCCCCAATTATCCCATTACCTGATGGGAACATGGGCAAAGATCTGTCAAGCCATGGGAGAAGATTTCGAAGTCTACTTACCTGTCGTTATGCCTCCACTTTTAGCCACTGCTAGCGCAAAAGCGGACGTTTCGTTTGACGTTGATGAGAGTGAGTTGTCCTGCTATCTTGGGGTTGAATCTAAAAAAAATTGACGTTTTCCTTCCCTCCCCCCCCCAGATTCGACAACAGAAGGCTGGGAAACCGTCAACATGGACGGTCAAACTGTGAACATTCGAACGGGAGCTATCGAAGAGAAATGTCAGGCGTTTGAGACGATGGTTATTTATGCTAGCACGCTTGGTGCGTTGGCGTTTGGCGTTGGGGCGGATGATCATTAACATTCTTGATCGATTGACTCGGCTTTTTTTTCAGGTCCTAGATACGCCCCCTATCTCGCTCAAACGTTGGAAGTGACACTTCCGTCAATGAAATTTTATTTCCATGATGGAGTTCGAGAAGCTTGTGCGATGTGCGTTTTTTTCCCAGTCCTTTCTTTTTTTTTTTTTGGTCCTCAACCTCCTCCGCCGACAGGCTCCTCCCAATGCTGCTTTCTTCCGGTCAAAAATCTTCAACTCTAACGACAGCGATGGTCCACGCGACCTTCAATCAACTGATCAGCGTCATCAAAGACGAACACGACACGTCCTTTTTAGGTTCCCTGTTCAAATCCTTTTCCGACTGCGTCAAAATTCTCGGTGGACCTGGAATCGTTGAAAAAGAGTTCGTTGAAGGTCTAGTCGAAGGTGCTAAACGGTTTGTGATGGGCGTCGCTGAAAAGCGAAGAGCGAGAGGACATGGTGTGGTCGGGGGCGGTTCTGCTACGGGTGGTGGTGTTGGTGTTGTGGAAGGGGAAGATAGGGAAGAGTTGGAGTTGATTGAGGAGATGGAAGATTTTGCGTTGGATGAGATACGAGGGTGTGTTGGGATGTGGAGGGAGGGTGAGGGTGTTGTTGTTGCTGTGGGTGGGGTTAAGGAGTTGGGTGTTTGTGGAAAGTTTGGGTTTGGTGAGGAGGTGGATGAGTGATGGTCGGGGGAGTGATTGGGCTTTTTTTGTGATATGCTTTGGTTTTGATAGATAGTGATTTTAATAATGCTTAACGGGACGAATGCACTGATTATTTTTTTTTTAGCTGTACGTGTATGTCTTTTTTTTTTTTTTTGGTTGATTTTGCGCTGCTCTGATTGTGTTTTTTTTTTGTCCGTATATACCTAGAAATGACAGTAGGAAGAAGTCGCGAACGGATGTATGTAGAACAAATTGGTGTGCCTTGGCTCCGTCGATTATACTTGATATATCATAGTTATATGTTCCTTTCTGCGTTCGTGTCATGTCCATTGCCTCGCGATGACATTTTGGGAAGGTGGCATCATCTCCCTGTTACGGTGACGGAAGTTTGGATAACACTCCCTAAAAGATGCACCGACGTCATTATTACAGTTTCTGGAAACATATAAACCTCCCAAAACGACGGTTTCTCAGCCATCAACGAGCT